TTTTACTCAAGTAATATTCCTAAAGGAGACTTTAACTTTTACCAAAGTACTTTTTTTGGTAAGATACTTGTACTTTTACTCAAATATCACTTTGTGGTACTTCATACAACACTGGTGAATTTATTTTAAAGTCCTAAATCTTCAAATCAAAATACAGTTAAAAACAGACCCTTTGGTGATGCATAACAGCTTCAAAATCTTAAAAATATCTGAACTACACAAAGGCAAAAACATATAAAAGAATTATATCATAGAAAAAATTATTTGACATTTCTTTTTATAGGAAATACCCTGAAATTAAGTATCAATTGCTGTTTTTGTCTAGTCTAATTTTTTATAGTACATTTCATACAGCATTCTAGTAGCAGAGTCCAGTTGGGCACTAATGTTGCGGTATTATAGCAAAAAGACTGGGTCCAAATAATCCCCCGTAACTCTAGCTATTTTCCTCTATTCTAGACAACGCTCTTTATTAATAAGCCATAAGCCTATACTCTACTACCGCACAGGCCTCTTTTCCATTCAGTTCAGGTTGACTTAGGAACCAACTTAGTTCCTGTCATAAATCTAAAACGCCAGTGACTAAGGCAGACACACAAATGGAGGGGTTCACTGGCAGACAAATGAAGAAATCTCAGCTAACAACTACAAGATCTTTTTCTCCATGCAAAAAAGTGGGAAGCTGTATGCACGTTTGAGCACACAGCACTTTGCAAGCTAAAACTGGGCTGCAGAAAGTGGAAAAGGCTACAAAGGCTGTCCATGAGCAAGTCTGAGAGACGCTGAAATAACCTGTGTTCTGGTTGATTTAAAGGATAATGTGAGCGGAGCTAAATCTAACAGTCAAATCAGTCTTTCACAAATCCCCAGGCTCAGTGTGAACACCCGAAGACCAAGTAGCCACGTCCAAACGTTAAACTCTAACAGTCCCACTCTCTAAGCCAGAGGTGCCCAAAGTGGGGTGCGCAGGCCAAAATTGACCCACCAAGCCATTTGATTTGGCCCACCAGCAGTTGTCCCGTCTACTAGGTTGTGTTCTCCTGTTTTATGCAGAAACACCATATTTCCACTTAGTCATCCCAACCATTGTCCAACTATATAAAAAGGACTGTAGTGCAGATAGTCTTAACTCGTGGCACTTTATCTTTGAATTATATTAAGATTAAACAGAAAATACCCTACAAGAGACATTGACATTAGATTTAAGCATAGGTCTAGATTTGCACACTTTATAAGACCACAAATACTCAAATTTTAATTTATGAAAAGTCCCATAAGCTTTTGCTGCTCAGGTTTATGTCAAATTTTCTGCACGTCCATTGGCTATCAAAAAAATGTGGGCTACCGCACTGGCTGCTAGCTTAATCATAAAAAAAACTTTACTTAAAAAATATTTGCATTTCAAGTATTATATTATTGCATTTGGCCCACAGCCCTCAGATAAATATTTGTTTTGGCCCTCTCAGGGAAAATATTTGGGCATCCCTGCTCTAAAACTCCTAGAGTATGGCACGAAGAAGAAGTGAAACTGGTCTCTTTTCCTAAGACTGCGCAATAGCATTCAATGAAGACAGCCTTTGCATATGTGTCTGTGTATGTTTGGCTCCCTGCCAGGGTTTTCTGTATGTGTTATATGACACTGTTCGAAGCTTATGCTGTAACAGAGGGAGTCGAATGATGACATCTTTGGTATTAGCAACAACAAACAGCACCGTGCCAAACCCAGGCCAACTGGATTCCTTCCTCCTTCCAGTCATCTCCTCAACCCACTGCTCTGTCAAACACCTCTTGCCTCCAACAATGTGGGACAAGGATAGCCCAGCAGGGCCTGCAGCAGTCCATGAGCCCCACAGCCAAGTCCATGCTAAATAGGGACAAGAGGAAAGGCAACAAAA